CAATGCGATTTGCTGCCAGGTCGGTAGTAAAACATCCTATGTGGAGACACTCAAGGCGGAGTTTCCAGCGGTTTTCTCCCACAAGTTGGGCATCTGTACGAAGATGAAGATCAAGTTGGAGCTGAAGTCAGGCAAATCTCCCGTGTTCCGGCCGAAACGCCCGGTCGCTTACGCGATGCAGCGGGCTGTGGATGATGAACTAGACCGACTGGAGCAGGAACAGATCATCACGCCAGTAGACTTCGCGGAGTGGGCCGCTCCAATTGTGGTGGTCCGCAAGTCAAGCGGGTCAATTCGGATATGTGGTGACTATTCAACGGGGTTAATTGACTCGTTACAGCCTCATCAGTACCCACTCCCGTTACCACAGGATATCTTTGCTAGTCTGGCTAACTGCACCGTTTTCAGCCAGATCGATTTGACTGATGCATTCCTGCAAATAGAAATGGATGAAGGCTCACGCGAGATGCTTACGATTAACACTCATCGAGGACTGTATAGGTATAATCGTCTTCCACCTGGAGTGAAGGCGGCGCCAGGAGCATTCCAGCAAGTGATCGATACGATGCTCGCTGGCCTTGTTCGTACCAGTGGGTATCTTGACGACGTAGTAGCTGGTGGTATCGATGCAGCAGACCATATGAGAAACCTTCGTGCCGTGCTTGATAGAATCAAGGAATATGGATTCACCATTCGTCTCAGCAAGTGCTCCTTTGGCAAAGAGCAAATTCGTTACCTAGGCCATCTGCTCGATCGCCATGGGTTGAGGCCTGATCCAGCGAAAGTTGAGGCTATCAAGCAGCTACCTGCACCTACGGATGTCAGCGGAGTGAGTTCGTTTTTGGGCGCTGTAAATTTCTACGGGAAGTTTGTGCCAAACATCCGGTCTCTACGTTTTCCGCTAGATGAGCTGCTTAAACAAGGAGTGAAACTTCGATGGACGGTGGAATGTCAGCGAGAATGAATGCAGACGCATTACGATCCAAGGCACGAGATAGTGGTTTCTGCGGACGCTTCATCGGTCGGTGTTGGCGCTACCATCAGCCACAGGTACCCAGATGGCTCGATGAAGGTAGTACAGCACGCCGCCCGCGCACTCACGAAGGCTGAACAGCGGTACAGTCAACCGGACCGTGAGGGATTGACTGTAGTATTCGCAGTGACGAAATTTCATAAGATGATCTTCGGGCGCAGATTCCGTCTTCAGACAGACCATGCGCCATTGGTACGGATTTTCGGCTCAAGCAAGGGAATTCCCTTATACACCGCTAATCGTTTACAACGTTGGGCGCTAATTCTTTTATTATACGATTTTACCATCGAATATGTGCCTACTGCTAAGTTCGGTAATGCTGACGTTTTGTCCACGGCTAATTGACAACCATGTCAAACCAGATGAAGATTATGTCATCGCGAGCATCATCTTGGAGGATGACATCAGGTCAGTGGTGAACGAAGTAGATAACGAGTTTCCTCTTAGTTTTAGCACAGTGGAGAAAGATACACAGGCTGACTTAGTGCTACGGAAGGTCTATCGCTTCCTTCGGGATGGTTGGCCCGAAAAGCTCGACAAGTCCGATGCCGAGCTTCAACGTTACTACGCCAGAAAGGATTCGCTGAGCACTACGGATGCGTGCATCATGTTCGGGGAACGGCTCGTCATACCTGAGCAACACCACAAGCGAAGTATGCAGCAACTTCACCAAGGCCATCCAGGGATCGTAAGAATGAAGGCCCTCGCTAGATGTTATATCTATTGGCCTTCCCTGGACCAGGACATCGCGTCGTTCGTGAAGGCATGCAAACAGTGTGCATTAGCAGCGAAATCTCCTCCACACGCAGCACCTGTTCAGTGGCCAACGCCTGGTGGACCGTGGCAGCGCGTCCATATTGATTTTGCCGGACCGATTGATGGAAACTATTTTTTACTGGTCATCGACGCCTACTCCAAATGGCCAGAGGTGATTATAACTCGTCGCATCAGTTCAGTGGCCACAATCGGTATTCTTCGCAACCTGTTTTCTCGCTTGGGGATTCCAGAGACGCTCGTCAGCGATAACGGCCCACAATTTACGAGCGCCGAGTTTCAACAGTTTTGTGCGACCAGCGGCATCCAGCATATAACTACCGCACCGTTCCACCCACAATCTAATGGGCAGGCAGAACGGTTTGTGGATACATTTAAGCGGGCGTTGCGGAAAATCCACGCGGGGAGGAAGACAATGGAAGAAGCGTTGGACATTTTTCTGCTGACGTATCGATCTACACCAAACCGCCAGGTCACGGACGGCCTGTCTCCAGCAGAAGCCATGTTTGGGCGTCGCATCCGTACAAGCCTTGATCTTATTCGCCCTTCAGTACACCCACTTCCAACGCAGCAAGCAGAGGGCACACCAAGAAGAAGCTTTGCACCTCACGACCTGGTCTATGCCAAAATTTACAGTTACAACAAGTGGAGTTGGGAACCAGGGGTCATCTGCAAAAAGATTGGTCGAGTGATGTACTCTGTATGAGTAAGCGACCGACGGCTGACAAGATCGCACGTGAATCAATTGCGTGATCGTGGGGTATCTGCAGGCAGTGAACCAGCTCACCAAAGAAAGCTACCGCTTGATGTCCTTCTAGACAGCTGGAATCTACCTAGGTCTACTGTCCAAGTTGGCTCACCGTCTCTCCCGGATGTACCGATGCCTCAATTGACACCTAGATCTAGTTCGTCGAGTTCAGCAGACTCTCTGGATTTAACGGCGACTAATATGCAGGCTAGTGCGTTGCAAACCAGTACGCCCGTACCATCAACCTCGTCGTCATCTACATCGTCGTCCGCTGCTTCTGGAGACTTCGCATCTGCCGGAAGTGAACCCAGTACTCCAGTGCCGGAGCAACCACGCCGATCTTCTAGGACCAGAAGACCGCCGCAGTGGTTCGACCCCTACCATCTGTATCGAAGAGGAGAGATGTTGGAGATAACTACCTAGCGAAGTACCCCTACTACTTCGTACGCCACTGGGCTCGTACGTGGCAGCTTCGACTGTCACCCTGCGATGCCATCATGCACATCGACACACACAAACACAAAAATAGTTGTCACGAGTAAATGAATAAAGTTGGACTGTTTACTTTTATTACGTTAACAACGCGTTTTAACATTCCGGTTCCAATATCACCGTTTTATTGTATCCAGCGATACTGTTCCGCTTAGGCGGACATCGGACATCCACCCTGTAGAAGTGCGGGAATACAAAAAAATCTGTTCTCAAGATAGAGATAGATATAGATTAAAGAGTAAGAAGCCAGTTGTCTCCTCTTCCTCTTAGATTTGGACTAGGCTTCGGTGGTAGATCTCAAAGCCAGTAACGCACCACGGAAAGGTAATCTACTGACTTACCTCCTGGTTAAAACTTTATCCCATAAACGTTCATGTAAAGTTCCATAACCATTTTTGGTAAGGTCTGTTATGTTTCGCATTTATGCGGGTCCCCTTACAGTTCCTGTAAACACTTTCACAAAATTTTAATCAAAACTCTCCTCAGGAATCGTTCTAAGCCTATTATTTTCAAAATTATCCCTAGAACACCCTTTAAATACTGTTTATAATTTTCTTTGAATTATGTTGGAATTATCCTTAACATTTATTTGCTATCCCTACTATTCCCATCAAGTTCTCCTCAGAATCACATAGGAATTCTCTTTTCAGTTCTTTGCACAACTCCCATGGAATTATTGTAACAACCGGATGGCTTTCGATACTCGGTAATCTTCTGTTCTGTTGCATCTTGACCGTCTCCACGCACTGTTGAATCTTTATTATTTTTAAAATAGAGTAGGTATAATCCCAAATCCATATCCCGAGCTTGTCTCCATGAGACCGAAAAAGTCTGTGTGGATCAGATCGAGAATCGGTGCCTACATCCCAACAAACAATTTAAGCTGCAGGATGTATAAGTTATGTTGGCATTGGGAAACGCTTTCAAATTTGCTTCCCACTGTGACGTACGGCAATACCATTCGCTAAATACGTATTGATTCTCTGTTGAATATCAGCTTCCTATCGGTGTCTTAAAACAAACCACCATGCTTAAAATCTTTCTTGCCGATAATTTGCCATCCATCCGTTTAAAAATAACAATTGTATCTTTTCCCATCAGCTTCTGTTTCGTAGTCTAATTTCCCACTTATCTTGACGGTTCGAGTTGATGAAAGCTTGCCAATCGTGTTCTTGTGTAAGTCACATAAAAGGCAACTTCAATCCTGCTACCTTCCCTGGCTATTTCGTAGATACCTTTAGTTCCTTAGAACAGGAAAAACCGTCGTGTTCATGCAGGACATTGGGAGGCCTCGCAACAGGAACGTCTCTGAAACATCTTCTCCCAGATTTGAACCAGCACATGGATGTCTTGCAAACAGCTCTTCCAATTCGAAGATATGTGCTGCAATGTTTCTTCAAGCTTCTCATCATAGACTATCAAGACTTCTGGCTGTTAAAACTCCAATTGAAGTTGAATAGACCAAACTCCAGCGCGACCAAACTTCTGAATGACTTTCAACTGTTGATTCTGACTGAAATGAGTGCCCTCAATGGCTGGAGCCTGGTTTTTCCACATCAAATGCATAATAGTTGGAAAATTTACGATTCATGAAATTTCAACATTCGAAAACTGAAACTTTTGATCAAATCTGGGTCACCGAAATTTTCTGCAACCGAGACCGAGAATCAGCATAAGGTCACAACGCCGTACCACTTTGCGCACCACCCGTTAATCTGTGTCTGCACTACTCTATTCAGCTCAACTTCCTTATTAGTAACTCGTCTGAACACATCTTGTTATGCCCTTGATACAGCACAGTCACACCGCCGTCGTCTTCATCGTCGTACTGCTGTTTGCAAAAAAAAAATCATCACAACGCACCTTCCTGCTCCATGGCACTATGCTATTACTTTCGTCTCTTCCCTCCAAGAATCCCCTCTCACTGCTTCCAAAATTTGCCCCATGACTCACCTTCCTATCCTCTAGCATGGGATCTCCGGGTTCCCCGAATACGGCCGCCTCCAGTTTGTAGTTGACGATGAGGGCCTTCTCCGTCGGATGTGGCTCGATGGTTCCACCCTTCCATCGTCTGGTTAAAAGGTGATGTTTTTCCCCCAATCGAAATAAAACGAAACAAGCACGGAAAAAATCAATAAACTGGAACTCTCTAGTTGCTACTGACTGGGGCCAAACCACCGAGCAGCAGAGGATATTTCATAATCGCTTCCAAAACGTCTACTTACTTTTTGATGTATTTTGCGTCCTCGGACTGCATCTGGTGGCCACCGCCGTAGCTGCTATTACTGCCGCAGGACGGGGATCGTAATGCCGTCACGATGTAGTACAGATAGTGGATCGTAAATAAAATCAGTGCCAAACCTGCGAGCCAGTGGAAAATACTAGCCAGCATACAACACTTGGGGCGTCGCAAATGGTGCTGCTGTGCTGCTTGCTAGCCATCAAAACCTTCTTCTTGCTGCTGCTCGGTCACTACTACTACTGTCTACGAGTATGCGTCGTCCGCCGTCGTCGCCACTGAACGAACGGTGGTCGAATTTTTTTCAGAACTCGCAAGCGTCGGGACGGCGACTGGAACTCACTTCACTGTCACTGGCAGCAGCAGCAGCGTTGTCAGGTGATTTGATATAGAGAACATTTTTTTCCAATAAAAATAAATTTTCAGTAGTGAAAGAAATTTGAAAAATCCCAGGTTCGCGTAAGTTTACCAGCACATACCAGGTTTAACTATATGGATTAAACTGGTTTGAGGTTTATGCGGAGGTGAAGAAATCGGCCCTTAATGAACAATATCAGTACACCTCTCTTGTATAATAGATAGGCTGGAAACCTCGGTCCGGTCACGACATCGAACCACGCACCAGCAGATTCGTGGAATCGTGACCGTGGCCGGAATTCCCCTGTCCAGTCAGGCCAATCACGCAACTCGGTAGAATGAGAACCAGATTAATGCTTTCTTGCGATGATGCTACTGGCGCTAGTCCGCTGAGAGTGTAAATAAATTCCCCCGAGAGGACAGATGAAATTCTCCCAAGAGGGTAAATAAGATTTCCCCGATTCTCAATTTAAATTTCAAATAAAAATCAAGTATCGTTTATTTTAAAAATATTCGTGTTTGATTTAACAGCTTGTGAACAATAATAAATGTTTATTTTAAACATGATTTTAACGTATGACAACGTATTTTAGAAAACATATTTTAAAATTATATTGAACGCATGAAAAGAGCGCGATTAAGTTGAATCACCTTGGACCTTCGATGCATTTAAATCCCGGATTTGAATGCATTGTCGACCAGTGCTGCAAAAACTCGAAATTACACGGCGATATTGAAAATTCTGCTTTGGTCACTCATTTGACCAACTATAGTGTGTAACGATCAAGAATTTTGGTATAAGTTTGTATATAATTTAATAGGTTTAAATTATGTAAATTGAATTCCTTAGGGGAGGAGGAGGAATACACAAGCATTTTTTTTTTGCTGAAATCTACGTTCAGAATACAGAGTAATAACATAGAGGTAACTCTAAGACTAGAAGGTCCCGAAATAAAGTGCTCAAATTTTTGGCTCAGCTCTGGTACTCTCTTCGGTCCCAAGCTAATCGATTCACCCCTCGAAACATAGGAAAAACGAATAACCCCTCATTTCATGTGTCAAACTTTCATAGCGAATCAAAACAAACATTGCGTAGTACTAGAATTTCGACTAGAATGGGATACGTTAATCGTTTGCTTGGGACCAATAGGCTAGTCAAGTAGTGAGCCAATTTAAAATCGTTTGTTTCGTATTGATTGTTGGTAGTATCGCCACCTGTGGCGAGCATAGTCAATTCCCTTGCGTTTGACGTTTACACACTACCACCATCTGTTCAGCGTAGTGCCCACCACAGTGTACTCAACAGATGGCGGTAATGTTTTAGCGACGATGTTTTACAGTGAGAAATATTCAATGTGTTATGTCTGTTTGTGTTATAGCGCTATCTTGATGGTGGTTTCTGTGTCGCAATTATTTGACAACAGGCTCGATAATTTCGTACGTGACTTTCCACCAATTTGGAAGTGTGTGCGTTTGCTCGTGTCCGTTAGTATAGCGAAAAGTATGCTAATATAAAGTGATGTCAATTATTCGATTTAATTAAAGTTTTGCTGTTAGTGCTAGAGTTTAGTTAGAAACTAAAGTGTGCGTGAATTAGTTGTGTGCGGTAGGAGAGAGTTGCTAAGGAAAAAGGTAATTTGGTGTGCTCGAAATGTGCTGTTTTGTCCGCGCTCGTGCTTGTGTTCAACTTTCTGTTGTAGTGTTGTACCTTCATTCCGCAGCAACCAATTGCGCACCCAAGCGCGATACTTCTCCCCGCCGGACAGAATTTCCCGGCAATTGCCAACCGGCTGGAAGCGGACAGATCCGTAACCACATCGGTCCGAGGAGGCTCGAGGGACCTCCACGTGGACAGGATCCACACGCCGGCTCGTCATCAAAACCGGCACGGCATAGTAACCGCCATCGTATCGGCGTGTGAAACGCCGAACCGCCATTTGCCACCGTCATCAAAGGGGTGACGCTTTCTACGCGGTCATCGAACGCGACACCGAGTGCGTCAAACCCGCCGACCGGTCATCGACTGTGACCGTTGGCAGAAACCCACATAAGCTACTACAAGCCATCATCAGGTGAGTCAACCAAGCCTTTATCTTTTTTTGTGGAGTGTGGCGTCCGGTGAGGGCGCCACGGAGTAGTTATTTGCCAGTCCTAAGGCTGATGTAATTTGAGTCGAGTTTTGTGACGACTTGCCGAAACTCGTGACTCGTCGATTCCGCTAAAAGCATGCGCGCGTAATTCGACGCTGCAAATAATTGTCACCAAGAGCACATGCCTTGGTAGAACTGAGCTACCGATTTGTGACGACAAACAACAACACATAACACCGAGCACATGAGCCCATGAGAGACAAAAACGAGAATGAGAGTACACAGCAAAAAAAGTTGTTGAATATAACATCGAAACTGCTGCAACCAGGTCAATCCATCGGTTGTGTAATATCACATTGTACGATGTACATCGATTTTGCGAACAAAATTACATCCATTGATGTAACATTGTATCTGCTTTTTGCTATTACATCATTATTTCATACATCAGCTTGAATTACGTTGATCGATATTACATTTTTTTTTGCTGTGCATGCTAGGGAAAGAGAAAAACCGCACACAGTAGGAGAGCCCCTATTCGTCAAACACACATAAACAGAAATAAAATGAATTTTGTACAAATGTAAATAAACAGTAAGAAGTACTCAATATATTGTCGTTCATGTTATAATTAAATCAAGCTGAACATTGCATAATGCAATGTTCAGCTTGAAATGTTGTTTTCCCGTTCCAAATCTCTCTAGCTTTAATTATTTGAATGTGTTTTTGCAACACTCCGCGTTCGTGTTAGTTTTCGTGGCCCGTCCCCTTGTTGAGGTTGAATGGTGGGAAGTACATTCCACTACCAGATTAGGGAGATGTCTAGCGGCAGGTGACGGGACTGGCCAATGATGAGAAGTTCTCTCTCGTAGAGTTTTGCGTGAGCTCTACCGTTTCTCTGAGTGACTTTCTTGAGTGTGAATTCATGGGAATAATAGGGAATTCCCGTTTGGTCGTTTAGTTGGAAGTTGTCTGAAACGATCCGTAAATCCTTTCTAGGAATTAATGGACTCGCCCTTAGGAGAGTCTCATCCGGGCAAATTAACCTTGGACGTGTGGCGCTTAAGCCTTGTGGAGTGGCGCATAAGCCACGCGTATTTAGCTGGGATCGTCCGGGCTAGCTACAAGTGTACTTAACGATGGCGGTAATGTTTTACCGACGATATTTTACAGTGAGAAATATTCAGTGAGTTATGTCTGTTTGTCTGTGATAAGACTGTTGTGTAGTAATCGAGTTTGAACATTAATGTTCAATTGTTGCAGAATTGCTTCGCAGTCGATTCTTCCTTGCAGAGTATTGGCGACGGTTAAGTCTCTGAAAACATCTCTTCTGATACGTAAGGGCTCGACATTGATCAATTGGCAGCGATTCTCGTAGCTTGGAAGACGAAGTGGGTATCTCCAAGGCAGCTTACGGAGCGCGAAGTGAAGAAAACGTCGTTGCACAGATTCAATTCGCCTTGACCAAAACAATTTCATGGAGCCGTTAAAGAGGACAAGCATCTACGTCCTGAGCTACTTGGATAACAATAATGTGATTCAGAATGCACGAAATTACACTTTTTGTTACCAGGCTTTGTCATTGACAAAAAATGAATGAGATTTTGATAAAATTGTTGAGGATCAAGTCTATCAGTGACTATGTAAAAAACAATTTTGTATATTTCGGCAAAAGTCTGCCAATGACACATCTCAGCACTGTTGAAGATACCAATATGATTCAAACTAATCGTACGCTTGTATTTGCATTATCACCATCACACGATCCGGATGCAATCATTGTCGATCCGTCTTGGCCGCTTCAGACAAAGCAGGCCCTTCCGACGAAGTTATTGTTCTTGGCGATTTTAACCTACCGGACATTGCATGGACTCCAACCCATAGTGGTTTCTTTTGTCCTGATCACGAGCGTTCATCTTTCCACGTAGGAACCATCCAGCTCCTGGACAGTTATAGTACCGCAATTCTGTCACAAATCAATGGCCTGTTGAATGAAAACAACCGCACCCTGGATCTCTGCTTTGTGAGTGCTCGTGATACAGCTCCTTTCCTCTCCACGGCACCCGAACCTTTAGTCAAGGTAGTGCATCATCACCCTGCTTTAGTTATCGTGATCGAAAATAATATTGTCCATGATTTCACCAGCACTCCAAACGCTGTGTCATATGACTTCCGTAGAGCTGACCATTGCAGTATCGTCCATGTGCTGTCTAATCTAGATTGGGAGCATATTCTAGATCCTGTAGACGTCAACATTGCTGCACAAACCTTTTCTCACGTCTTGGCATATGTCATTGACAGACACGTTTCCAAAAAGATCATCCATATTGACTCTCGCGTCCCGTGGATGACGAAAGATCTTCGCTCGTTGAAAAGAACTAAGAAGGCTGCTCTCAGAAGATTTACTAAACTCCGCACACTGCCACTGAAATGCTACTATGTCAGACTCAACCACGAGTATAAGCGGTTAAGTCGTCTCTGTTTTCAACGCTATCAAAGGAGGATTCAACGGCGGCTAAAATCACACCCGAAATCCTTCTGGAACTTCGTAAATGAGCAACGCAGGGAAGTCGGCTTACCCTCTTCCATGATTTTTAATGGTGAAACTGCTGGAAATCAACAAGACATTTGCAACCTGTTCTCAGCCAAATTTGCTAGTGTGTTTGTAGCCGAGCAACTCTCCGCTAATATCATTACTTCCGCGGCCAGTAATGTTCCTTTGATCAACCAAACGCTCAGCATGGTCGAAGCCACTACAGATACGATTTCTAGAGCAGCATCTAAACTTAAGACTTCAACTAAGGCTGGACCCGATGGTGTTCCGTCGATTATTCTTAAAAAGAACATCACTTGTCTTTTAGATCCACTGCGCCGCATATTCCAGCTCTCTCTTTCCAGCGGCATCTTTCCGTCTTGCTGGAAGACTGCGGAGATGTTTCCTGTTCATAAAAAGGGAAGCAAACGCGACGTAAACAACTACCGGGGAATCACATCGCTGAGTGCTGTATCAAAACTTTTTGAATTGGTTGTCATAGAGTCCCTAAATGCGCATTGCAGGCAATATCTAAGTACAGATCAACACGGATTCATAACTGGGCGTTCCACAACTACGAACCTGCTGTGCCTAACGTCTTACATCACAGACAGTTTGATTGCTCGGACCCAAACGGACGTTATCTACACAGATCTTACGGCAGCCTTCGATAAGCTGAACCACGAAATTGCGATCGCTAAGCTTGATAGGCTAGGGATCGGTGGAAATCTTTTGAGATGGTTTCGTTCATACCTCACGGAGCGCCAATTGACAGTAACTTTGGGTACTTGTCGCTCAGCAAGCTTCTGCGCAAAGTCCGGTATACCTCAGGGCAGCCATCTGGGACCATTGGTATTTCTCCTCTACTTCGACGACGTTCACCATGTTATCACAGAGCCACGATTATCGTTTGCAGACGATCTGAAAGTTTTTCTGCGCATCCGCTCACTCGCCGACTGCCGTTCTCTCCAAAATCAGATTGACATCTTTGCTGACTGGTGTAGTCTAAACCGACTGGTGGTCAACCCAGCTAAGTGTACAGTTATTACTTTTTCACGCAAGAAACAACCGATTATTTTCAACTACAAACTACTAGGCACGACTATCGAACGGGTGCACTGCGTGAAAGACTTAGGCGTTTTTCTAGACTCAAAGCTGACATACTCACACCATATATCGTATGTCGTCGACAAAGCGTCCAGAACGCTTGGCTTTGTCTTCAAGATTACTAAGAACTTCACGGACATTTACTGCTTGAAATCGCTCTATTGCTCTCTCGTACGATCTACGTTGGAATACTGCTCTGCTGTCTGGAGCCCGAACTACAATAATGGGGCCGAGCGAATTGAATCTGTTCAACGACGTTTTCTTCGCTTCGCGCTCCGTAAGCTGCCTTGGAGATACCCACTTCGTCTTCCAAGCTACGAGAATCGCTGCCAATTGATCAATATCGAGCCCTTACGTATCCGAAGAGATGTTTTCAGAGCCTTAACCGTCGCCGATACTCTGCAAGGAAGAATCGACTGCGAAGCAATTCTGCAACAAGTGAACATTAATGTTCAACCTCGATCACTACGCAACAGTCTTATGCTGAGACTTCCACTTCTTCGAACTAATTATAGCATAGGGAGCGCTATTTACGGCTTGCAGCTAGTGTTCAACCGAGTAGCGTCGATGTTCGATTTCCACTTGACACGGAATATGCTTCGCCGAAGATTCTCTGCCTTTTTTGCTGACCGAAGGCGCTTGATACCCAACAGCTAAGTGTAAAATTTAAGACTTATAAATTTTTAGTAACTTGACAATGCTTTCCAAGTTATTTTCGTTTGTAACTGTAGTAACTGTAGTATATGTATGTCGTCTGTATAATCTGTACTTTTTTACAACACATCATTGGGACTATTTCTAGTCTGTTGATGCAACCATAACAAATAAACAAATAAACAAATCACATCCGTATTCAGAAGCGACACATCCAATTCGCCTTCCCATTAGCCGTCTTTCCATGGGCAAAGTGAACCGCATTCTGTACCTTTTTCTTGCCGGAACCACCCCGGTAACAACGTCTGAATGCCTACTCAGAGTATTCATCAGCTCCAGTAATTGATCTCATCGGCCACTTCCAAAAACTTCAAACCCTGTGAAATGACCAGTGAAAGAAATGCCGTCCTCAGCGCCTTTGTTACCGCCAACCGTTCCCATTATGATTTGCCAGATGTTTCCTCAAAAGTACTGGCATCTCTTCCTGGAGGTGAGATCTATTGAATTGAGTGACGTTAAGCGACGCCTATTTTGCTATCATACTTCTGTGGGCGGATGACAGACGTCGGGAGCACAACATAGCACTCATTCATCGTGAGGGAATGAAAGGAGGCGGGAGCAGCATAAAAATGGGTGGTGAGTGTCAACCATGAAGCGGAAAATGAAAACAAAAACAAGTTCAGCATCAGGTCTGGTTGGACGTGGGACGGACGGAATGGGTCTTGGAAAGGCTAAATGGTGATGGTGTTCAACGCTTGGAGTGTTGTGTTGTTGATTTGATTTTCAAAATGATACAAAATTAAATCCAGCTTATGAATTTATTGCCTAAAGATTCTTAATCTGACAATAATTAAGTAAACCACACTACATTAACTTACATTTTCTTTTATTTAATTTGTGATCCTCATACTACTATTCTGTCCAATGAAACACCGAACCAAGTCTACGTCTGGCATCCAAACGCCCTTACTCCACCTTATCAAGATACTCGTCGAACAACTGCACGCCCAACGCCTTGGTATTGGCCTCGCGGATGATGTCGTTCAGATTGGTAATGTAGCCGGACAGTTTGCGAATCTGCCCGCTCTGGTACTCTATCAACTTCTCGTCCAGATAGTGAGCCACGTCCGGATCGTAGTGCTTGGTGCTGTCAGCATGGGAAATCTTCTTGTGGATACGGTGCGCTTCGGTGGCCAGGATTTTCTCATATTCCAGCGCTAGTTCCAGCGAGGAAGTCTCGTTACTCTGCACCAAGCTGGCCACGTCGTGGATGGTGTTAGGTCCTTCACCACCGCCCACCTGTACGCTGGCACCGCGGCGGCTTTGGTACTTGATCAGATCGATCGTATCCTCCCAGGCCTTGTCCGATGCCTTACGGTAGAGCTTTTCGAATCCCGGTCGGTCCATGCTGTACACGTCGAACACGGATGACAGCAGCAGGAAATCGAACGATTTGTCCAGCATCTGCTTGGTGTACTTGTTCAAGTCGGTCTGAATGTGCGGAAATCCGGAGAACAGAGACGTGCACGTTCCTGTCACCGGAGGGGGAGGGGTAATTAGAAATGCATTAATGTCAATCTACGGTTCATCTACCCTATCAGTGATAGCAAAGAGAAGGACTATAGAACAAAATGAGTGACCCAGAACAGCTGAGTTGAATCATTCTTTTGTCTCCTAATGACATGACTGGAATGGAAAATTTTGCATTTCATTTTCCAAACTAGGTTCTTACCTTTGTCGATGGAGCACGTTCCGACACCGCTGACGGCTCCGTTGGCCAGAGCGAGTCCCGCAACCAGCCCGGCGATGAGTAGGATGAATTTCATTGTGGAAACACTGCAATGGAGGGCAACTAGCGTCAAATACACCCCTATTTCACACTCTTTCAAACCTACCTTGGGTTTTGTGAATCTTCTCTATCCGACAAAATCCAAAAGTGCAAAAGGGAAATATTTGCAAATAATCGATAATCACCAACAACTATGCAGTAAGGGAGGATTTTCTACGACGGACGTCCACAAAGAACCACAACAAAATTGATTCTGTCTGGACTGACGGATTTGCGTCTTGGGGCTTTTGTTCGAGAAAATCAGGAAGAGCACCGGTCACTCATGAGTGGCCACAATCGAAACTTTTTTTTAGTACAAGTGCTTAGGGTGGTACCTCTACATCCATGCAAAATTCACACACACAAAAAAAAACAGATTATTAGTGATCTAAGTTGTACATTTATTTTCAACAGTTACATCTGATACAAGTACTTCCACGACCTCCTTATAATGGGTCCTGATGCCCCCTGCATTTTGTTTGTTTGTACCCAGCTTTTCGAAATATCAAACAGTTCTCCGATGCTTCAGCATCATCAAAATGGTTTATATTGGGTCAGTACGGACTACAGTTATGTGGGTTTTAAATTTTGCAACCAAGCTCCTAGTAGTGTCCTAAAACAGTAAGTACTATCCTGTGGTTCTTTCATTGCATAGTTCATCACCCAAACGAAAAGTGCTCGATCCCATTTCCAACGTAGTTTACGATTTTCGTTTATGCCCATTACTAAACGAAATTTAACGACATTTTGTAAATAGTATTAATTCATTATTAATTGTACTTCCTACTTTGAACGTAACGAATTCTTTTTTGATTAAGTATAATTTCACCACGTTTTGGTTGTTAGCTCGCAGAGTTGTTCTACAGAATCTCTATAGAAAATATAATTCTTTACTTCTCTCCTAAACTGCCGGTGGACGCATAACTGTCCCATGCATGTAGGGAATCCCGTAGAACACGGGACAGTTATGCGTCCACCGGCGGAAAACTACTATCTAGTAATTGAAGTATAGAAATGAGCTCCTACCACAAAAAAGAACCGTGCTTTTCTTTTCCTAAATATGGTGAGAATGCTTCTAAATGGAATGGTTTCTCCGCCGCCACCGTCTTACATATCCGTGGGTAAAATATCCGGAATCAAATACTTGCACAATTCATCCTCGCTGGACACGAAAACCACCTTACCGGAAGTGTTCTCATCCAGCCACCCCTTGATCACTGGCCAAACGGTGCTGAATACCATCGGTGCATTGAGGATCAGACACGCTCCCAGCCGTTCCGGAAAGTGCTTACTGAGCAGCCAAATCAGGTTCTTAATCAGCTGATAGTCCATGCAGGCCGTACTGAAGCCAGCCAAATCGAACACAATGCACAGATTATCGGTCACTTCCTCGAAACACCGCTTGCACGCTTCCTCCAAGCAGTGCACAATGAACTTGGTCAGCTCGTCAATGTCCCGCTCGGATGAGTGATTCTTGGCCGGAATGTAGATGACGGGGCGGCCGGTACAATCCCGGTGCTTCAGAACACGAGCCTTGTTGGCATTGGTAAGGATCGCAGGACTGTCCGCCAACGTCGCCACACCGTACTCCTCGCGCCATTTGTTTGTCTTCAGGATCGCCTAGGATAGAAGAAATATTCATAAATCCTATTAGCTTCCTGCTAATTAGAAGACACCTACCTGGAAGGCAGCATCGACCGTTTTGAACGCCCGTAGGTAGCGCTTGAGGGAAAACTCATTGTGATACTGTTTCGGGTCCGCTTCGGCGATAAGCTTCATTCGTTCCTTGAGCGATGCCAAGTCAGCAGAATTCACGGCAGCAGGTTCCATTGCCATATGGTTGCTGCAAAAACACTCCTATGAAATGAACTCCTTTCCTTTTGCTTTTGTAAGAAAGTGACACTTTCTCCCTCCGATCCGAACACTTGCGCTGAGCGGGTTAGCAATCGAATCAAAATAATCGATGAGTCATAAAAAAAACTTTCGATGAGCAGACTTTTATGCCAGATAAGAAGCAAATTGGACGATTGATGATACGGATGAATACCGAAGAAAACGGCGATGATCACGGTTGCCACTAGTCTTATCAGCAGCTGCTGAGTGTTGGACGCTCCTTGTTAAAAATGTATTTACTGATAACACAAGAAAAATAATATACGAGAGTGGAGCGGGACGGCAGAGCGGCGCTCGTTTCTCCCGTTTTTATGACGGATTTTGTGTCTGCGGTTTTGTTTTGACTCTTTTGACGCTTTTGACAGATCACATCAGAATCCATCTCTGCAGTGAAACTCGCGAGCAGCGGGTTCACGGTAATTGAAAACCTCTCATTAATGAGTAATTTCCTGATTCTACACTCTATTTCAAATCTACTCAATGACTGAGTATAATTTTATAGCCCTATCTTTTTCTCTCACGTGTGCGTGGGTCTTAATGCCATGATATTTGCTGTACACATAAGTTGTCTCCATCCCGCATAAACGCGAACCATAAATTGACCTTACCAAAAATGGTTATGGTAGAAAATTCGACAGTTTGGAATGCCACCGCAACAGCAGCAACCACTGATGGCGGAGAATAATTCACTGTTCTATTGGCGTTGACGGCACCGTCGAAAAATTTGCTCTTGCACAGGTTCTTCCAGCAAATTTAGACAGTTTCTTATGGGAATTTTCGGTGAAGTGAAAGGATAGTACAAAGTCCGCCATGTTTCACGCACAGTCTGACGTTTGCTTATGGATTTTCTCATAGGAGTAAAGAGCTACAGAGTCGCCGTGATCGACAATTGATCAACAAATCGACAGTGAGCATGCATAAGGGCGAATACGCGATGATCGATTCTCTTCATCGATTTTCTCTTTGCATTGCTACAGCTAAGTGAAACAATTTTCTAGAATTTGTTCAATGCAGAGTAGTAACAGGTTGTATTGGCTATCAAAAGCAACATCAAACGCACCGAGAAACGTTAAATCTAGCGAGTTATTAACAAAAGAGAAAATCGACGAAGAGAATCGATCATCGCGTATAGGCCCTTATGCATGCTCACTGTCGAAATGTAAAAATTAATGGCAGTGGTGCCAGAATTCATGAAAACATTAGCTTTTCATGCGACGGATGCGTGTTAGTGGGTGTTTGAAGTGTGTCGAAGTGTGTTTTTGTGGGTGTTAGCACAAGGTGGCAGAGTGACTTACCCCCTGCATTAGACTTTCGTAGTCTGTACTTTGGTATTATTCTCTGATATATCTTGGTGTTATTTCTAGAATCCTTTAAAATTCTCTCAAAATTTACTTGGGATTTTTTAAAGTTCTTAATCATCCTTGAAAGACTTTTGAAAATCTATAACAGATAAATACCTTTGGAAAGTTTCCAAGGTTTACAATTTATTTTCTGGGAAAGGAGGTATATTTTCCCCGATTTTTAATCGAAATTGAATTTTCTGGGAAAGGTGATATATTTTCCTCAATTTTTAATCGAAATTGAAGACATTTCCTAATAGTTTTCCTGGTGCTCTAAAGTTTTGCGGTTCACTGGTCACTAGAGTGATGCAAAATATGAAATTTTCGCTCCACAATACTTGAACGATTCCAAATCGGATCCTGACTAACCTCTCAAAATTTGAACCCGTTTGGTGAGAAACTGAGATGGCACAAGCCATTTGAAGTTTGTATGGGAATTACTATGGTAAAACCAAGATTTTTGTTTCACTAAAAAGTGACCTGCTACCAGCCCTGCACTAATGACATCTGGCTCCGAGTTCGCAGGAAATATTTAGCTAAGGCATGAACCCGCATGCAAAAGTTAAAAATTGGTTCGTGTCTGATCTAATCAGGACAAATTATTTTTATCTAGATCAATGATTTTGACAGTTCGGATCACTGAAAATCTAAATCGACCGTTTACGATTTTTGGGCATAAGTCAGAATTAAGTGTCATGTCGGTTTGTCGGTGGTTTTATTGCGGTTCAGGAAAACTTCAATAACTTTTCAGAAGTTATGGGTAAGCTTAAAGATTTGTAAGGGTAAGTTCTGTTAAAATTCGAGAACCCGGGAAACTTTAGGGAAATTTAATGGTTTTCATGACAGTTCCATTTGTTTCAGGGGCATTGAGAGAACTTTAGGGATGCTCTGCGAACATCAGAACAGATCAATTAATGTCAATGAAGTTTCTGAAGCTTTAAATGCGTTCCGGAAAACTTGGGGAATTTCCAAAAACTTCAGCAAAGTTCATGAGAGAGGTTCATACAAAATTTTAAAACGTATGGGATGTGGGATGTGATGTTCCATGAATTTTAAGAAAATTCTGAGAACACATAAAAAAATCCTGAAATCTTCAAGAAAGTCTAGAGACCTTAAAAGAAGATAAGAGATTTTCCGGTGGTTTCTCAGTACTTCAAGGATGACCAGAGAACTTCAAAACAGCCCCATTAACTTCAGGAAAATTGTAGGAACTTTCAAGGAATTATGGGATATTCCGAAGTGTGTTTCCGGAATGTTCCGAAAACTTCAAGGACATTGCGGGGTCTTCAGAGATGTTTTATGAATATTATTATAATTTATGGATAAGAACCCTCCCCATGGACATGGAGGTTGACGGTACTGAAGCAAAGGGTTATGTTTAATTTTTTTTTTATATTTGCAACGATGATGATTTCCTATAGTGACACATATCACTTTCTTAATGCTTCAGTATGCCTCAAACGATTAATTCTTGGTTGTTAATAGAACTTCCTTGATGCAATCGGCTGCTTCATGCAGACTGAGCAATTCTGATTATAGTATCAGATTTGTTCTGTATACAGAGAAACTGGGAGGGCTTATTAAAAACTTCTCACCAATAAAGTAATAATCTTCTTGTAAATTTTGCATAAAATTTTATTAATATTTTATTTTATTTAAGCATATTATTTTTGTTACAGTCAATTTGCATTAGCATATGATACAAGAGATTTAATATTACTTGCTCGTTTTTGCGTAAAGTAGCGTAAAATATTTATTTTACTTGTAATTACCTTTGAAAGTTTTTTTTTGTGATCTGAAAATTTACCCAGTTTGGTTAGAAGTTTCAAAGCTAACGCATGTCCATAGGTCTAATAGAAAGATAGGCAGAAAAAGTGTATCATGAAGAATGGTTGCATGCAGGGTTGCTTCCACTCACTTGCTATAGATGAGTGATTTTCGGAGTTTTTAATTCGTTAGAAGTTGTAATGGAGATTTGTGCTGTTGGATGCGGGAGGAGATTGGAGGGCGGGTGTTTGACGCATAGAGCTTGTCAATTTCGCTTTCAGAGTGTCGCAGTCAGCGGTTTTATGATTCGTGAGCGCTCGCGATTCGTAGAATCGTTGATTGTGACTGACGGGTTTTGTGTGTCGGACGTTTGCTTTTTGGCCTCTTCTTGTGTCTAACATGTGCAGAGTATCATTATAACGTCTAATGGTTTTGAGATTCCTGGTGGCGTGAAATATATTTGTGAGAATATCTTTTTGAGATTTTAGCAGTCACGTTTTGTTTGTAGTTTATATTTTATTTATTTCATGTAATTATCGTAAATAATAGTTATTCAAAGCGCTGTGGATTATAAGATGCTCGATGACCCTCGAGGGATCGATTTTGCTTACTGAGCAGAAAATAATGGATTTAACCCCAAGCTCTTCCACAGCACAATAAATCGCCACCATCATTTGTATATTTGATATTGAACATTAACCTCGGAAACTATTTGCATATCAAGCGAAAACGTAGTCCTGTATTGTCGCGAAGCGTTATGGTTCTGAGATGCTCGATGACCCTGGAGGGATCGTTTTTGCTTACTGAGCAGAAGATCATGGGTTTAATCCCAAGCTCTCCGTCATGACTCTTAAAATTCATGATCACTAAACGAAATGAATATGTTCTTTCGATAGCGGGCTATCGAGAGATTAAATAAACAACAAATAAACAATACATACTTTTGGTTGCATCGCCAACTTGAGGTGAATCCTAACGGAATACCCAACCCAACCATCCAACTCCGTAGCACTTATGAGGGTGTCGCTAAGTCGGTGGCCTCTCGTTAAGTAAGTACTACATCAACATTTCCTTCCCTTTCCCTAGTTATGGTAAAGATGGGCGTGGCCGGAAATAGCGACAGTCAACCAATGTTTACTCCTCAGCATTATTCCTGAAAGTAGTCTAACTGAGAATTTCAGAAGAGACGTGAGTGTCGCTAGTATCTAATCTACGAAGTATATCATAACAACGCTAACGCTAATTCAAACATTCCCCGGAAATTGTTTCCGACTTCTCCTGGAAAGCAATTTTTCCGTACTTAGGCCACAAGTTTTATATTTCGACTTCAAAAAAGGCAAAAATATAAATATAGCGCTATAACATGTTATAACTCTGTAGTCTGAACGTACTATAAAGCATGTTCTTTCTTCTAATTTATGCAAATTAACTACAAAAGTATCTACTTCTCCAGCATTTGGAATGATTCTCTGCTCATTTGATATTGTAGGATTCCGTCAATTTGATACACCGCGCGGCATTTCAATTTTTCTCAAACGCGCATTTGCACAAAATTCCCCGCGGCCTTCGGTTTGTGAAAGGAACGGCCGCGTCGAGTGAAACGAGATTATTCACTGACTTTAGTGTAAATAGTGTTGCCAAACGTATTGTTTCTAAACAGTTAACATAATAATCTGTCGAACTTCAGCTTCGATTTTCTCAAAATGGCGAATATGTCACATTGGTCTGTTTGAAAAGCGACGCGAGAATTCTGAGGTGAATGGCATGATTCTAAAGAGAATTCAAGCGAGTTTTAAATAGAATTATGGAAGGAAGCTTCAGTGAATTCTTGAACAAAACTTTAAAATTCGAAGAGAATCTAAGGATGAATTTCATGATTTTTGTGAAATCTTTTTGAGAATTTCTTGATTGTCTGAAGAATTTGGAAAAAAAACTCTGTAAAGCAAAATGATTCTCAAGGAAATGCTTGAGCACATTCCAATGGGGGTTATTCCGAGAGTCGAAGTGACTTTTGTCACTAGTGAAGTGAGAAAAGTCACGTCGTGACTTTTCTCACTTCACTAGTAACTACAGTCACTTCGACTCTCGGAATAACCCCCAATATGTACTACAATCCTGTTAAAAGTTTCGAGTGAATTTTCAAGGTATTTAAAACAGATCTTGCCGTTGAAATATTTTGAGTGGAAAAGGGAATCATTCACGGTGAAGTGATTCCCGGGCAAATCAAATGGGGATCACTTCACTTCGTATTCACCGTGAAGTGACACCCGTAATAAGGGCCGAGATTTCGGGTGAGATGCTGATGTAGGAAGTCCACGAATTAGTTTAAAGGGAGTTTTCTTTCATCATCAAATTAGAAAAAAATGTCTCACCTTTGAGGATCGCTCCCATTTTTTTTAGAGTAACGAATCTAGTTGCGGCTTTATTGGTTTACACATAAAACTTGTTTTTTTCCCTTTACACTACATGCAATTTGTTATTCCATTTACTATAAACTTACGGTCTGCAGCATAATGGGTTTCATACGAGGAATAATATATTGGGGACGATAATAGCTATAATAGTTCGACATTCTAACCATTGCAGCAGTGGAAATTTTTTATACAATTCATTTTATTTTATCGCAAACAGGACCAAAGTTAGAACTGCTATTTAAAATTTAATGTTAGGAATTTTTTTTTTTCATTTTCAATATTTTTTGCCGAAAGTCAGTTACAATTAACACTCACGTATCAGCCGTTAATAGCCGTTTTTCTTCGCTCGCTGTAAAGAGAGGATCTAATTCTACATCACGAAACCGATCAAGCGTACGTAAAGAAATATGCAAATTTTCGAATACCTACAATTCCTACTAAAATAAAAATGAAAATTCGATTATCTACCTAAATTCAAATCCCGAAAAAAAAAGTAAATCACACAGCTCTATTTACACAGTGCACCGCCCGCGCTTTCTTAGTTCAGAACGGCGGATCGCTTGTCCCGGTTCTTGCCACGGGTGATGGTACGTGCCTTGAATGCGGCCGCATTGATAAACTTCTTCTCCGCCTTGGCCACCTTTTGACTGCGCTCCAGTTCGTCCATCTTCGCGCCCAGCTCCAGCACATCCCGCAGGAATTCGTTCTCGGCCAGGTGTACGTTCATTCCGAATCCCAGCGCATTCCGCAGGCAGATGTACTGGTGATGGAGGGTCCAGGTGTCCAACAGCAAGGATTCCTTGCCAAATTTGATCGAGATTTCCGGCGAGATGTCCTCCTCCAGGTAACGGTGCACATCACGGAACGTCGCACGTTGTACCTTGCGGTCACGCTTGGCACGGTACTTGTGCGCGTCGGTGGCAAGCTTTTGGGTGGCTTCGATCAGATCGGACAATTCGTTCTCGAGGAAGTCTTCGTCGTGAGAGCGACCACATTCCAGAATCAGGGCAATCGTTTCCCCAGCGGTCATTCGCACATCCAGATGAGGACTTTGCAGCATTCCGGTTAGCTTCTTGATAGATGGAATCATTGGATTGTTACTGTTGACGAGGGATACCAAGTCACCCGCTGGGATCAAGGTCAGTAGCAGAGCCCAAGCGCTCAGAGCCGCACTGTGCATTGCAGCAGCGTCGGCGCTGGCACTGCTGGGACTGTTGTCTCCCTTGAGGAAGCTTCCCGAGAAGATACCCTCGAAACTCTTCATCAGTGGCAGTAGATCTCCGATGTCGTCCGTTCCGAGGAAGTTGAGCAACCCCAATGCCATGCAGCACTTGGCCCGTGCATCGAAGGCAGCCGCTCCATCTTGAGCCGTTGCCAGCAGCACCGGTTTCAGCACGTTGATCATCCCGTTGATCTCCTCGGTTCCCTCCAGCTGGATCACCAACAGTGGGATGATCCGAGCCGCACAGGCCTGCTCCCCTCCCTTGCCCTTCTTGATCGACTTCTCGATCACATCCATCAGGGTCATCTTGCGGTCGTCGATGAACTCCGGGATGTAGTGGTGCACCAGCGTTTCGTTGATCACCTGGAATGCGTTGATCCGGGTCTGGAGCGATTTGTCGGAAGCATTCTCGATCGCCTGCAGTAGGTTTTCCTCGTACTTTTCGAAGCCACTGCCGGCCTCGGTCTGACTGGCATCGCCGTCGGTGTTGTTGTTGTTGTTGTAGGCGTCGTTCAGCGTTTCCGACTGGCAGGACATCACGCTCGCATTGTCGTTCGATGTGTCCTCATCCGAGTCGTTGTGGTACGCGTTGCCATTGGCTGTGGAATGGGTGGGAGAGCAGAGATTTACGAAGATTAGTAAGTGCAAGTAGTCTTTTCATAAATGAAGGAGGTGTTCTGGAAAAAAAAAACACTTCATGATTCATATGCAAGTGCCAAAACGATAGCACTTGTAATGCAGATGTCTTCTGTTCGGTCCCTGCGTTTCAAGAAGCTCTCCAGCCATGGAGGATTGATGTAGGAAAAGTGAAAGGGAAGTTGGAGCCCGTCAAGTTGCCCTATTATGCACCGTTGGTGACTGCTTACGACGGCGTGATAAAGACCCGTAACCGTTCCGTTCAGTTGAAGAAGATTAACTTTAGCCGACAGTATTAACCGGGACACCCATCCGTGGGCGCAACCATTTTGTGTGGGAGAGGGGATCAATCGCGATAAGCCCTAAAGTACGCAACGGTTTCGAGGGGGAAGTCGAAACGAAGCGTTTTCCATCTTGGTTAGATAATGTGGCCCCAGCCTAGAAGGAAGTGGAACTCGTTGGCCCACGCGCCGGTGTAATGAGAAGCAGAAAAATGAAATAAGATAGCGGAGGAAGCAACGAAAGCCCGAGAGCGAAAAAGCCAAAACAGTGCGCGAAAACGACCAAGAGTCATTCACATTTTATGGTGCGGCCGGATGTTGGCGTGCGAGTGCGTTCGCTTGGACAAAAGTGTGTGAAATATGCTTCGTACAGAAGGTATCGGGGACTGTACCATCCAGTGAGTGAATGATCGCGGTGAAAACATTACGGTGACGTTGACTCGGTCGTCGTTTCCGCAGGTTGCTGTTCAGATGTCGAAGGAGGTGCTCGATCCATCAGTGTACTATCAGCGACGTTTGCGGTCCAATTACCTTGAACGACGATCATAGTAGGTATACTATGGTGTATTTTCTGCAGGAAAAATCAGAGGTTGAAGACAAGATTCGGGACTATGTCCAATTCACTCAGAACCAGCTAGGTACGAAGCTCAAGGCCATACGCTCAGACAGATGAGGTGAGTACACCAGCAAAAGTATTCGTAAATTTTATGCGGAGGGTGAAATCAAACCCGAGATCACCGCCCCAGTATTTTTGGGCAGAAGCTTACATAGAAAACTCCTTTTGAGCTTTGGTATGAAAGGATACGAGGATGTCTTTACAAAGGACGGCCAATCCCTGGGTGACGCCGATCGTGTGAGATTGCTTCTTCGCAAGTTAAGCACGCCTCTGCACGAGAAGTACGTCAACACCATTCTTCCCAAGCATCTCCGGGACTTCACCCTGGACGAAACCGTCACGAAGCTGAAGAAACTGTTCGGTCGACAGAAGTCGGTTTTTCATTCCCGTTACCAGTGCCTCCAGTATGCAAAAAGTGACGCGGATGACTTCACATCGCATGCTGCCATGGTGAACAAACACTGTGAAGCGTTTCAGCTGTCCAAGCTTACACCGGACCAATTCAAAGCTCTCCGTTTCGTCTGTAGACTCCAATCGCCACGGGATGCGGACATACGAGCTAGGTTGATCTCGAAATTGGAAGCCGACGAAACCGCAGTCAACGAATTGGGAGAAGCCACCAGCAAGGTAACCCTGGAGAACCTCGTGGAAGAATGCCATCGCGTGGCCAATCTCAAGCAGGACACATTGATGGTGGAGAACAAAGAAGCACGCAACGTCAACATTGTTTCTCGCAACCATAATAATCCTGCCTCATAAAAGAACCAAAAAGTGCCGAAAACGCCATGTTGGAAGTGTGGCGACCAGCACTATGTTCGTGTCGTGAGTGTCCGTTCGCTTCGCACACCTGTTCCAGATGCAAGCAACAAGGACACAAGAAAGGTTATTGCAACAGCAACAAGAATACGCCGTTGAAACGGTTCAAACAGGCCAAATCCAAAGAGAACGTGAAGACAAAAAGCATCTACACGGTTCGCAACATCGGAAGCAAGCGAAAGTTCATCCCGGTCGAGCTCAATGGTGTAGCAGTCAAACTTCAACACGACTCGGCGTCCGACATCACCATAATCTCAGAAGAAACATGGATCAGCATCGGACAGCCACCCACTCAACCGACGGAAGAATCTGCAGTTACAGCTTCTGGTGGCAATCTCAACCTTCTCGCTGAGTTCCAGACCGAGATCACCATCAAGAATGTTACCAAGACTGGTCGCATTTTCATCTCAAGCAGCGCTGAACTCAACGTTCTAGGAATCGAGACTATGGATCTGTTCGATTTGTGGTCTGTGCCGATAAGCAGCTTGGTCAACGTCGTACACCAACGTTCTGATCAGTTCACCAATCAACTCAAGCAACAGTTTCCGGAAGTTTTTCGAAGCACGCTGGGTAGATGCACAAAAGCGCAAGTGAAGTTGTACCTCAAGCCTGACGCACGTCCTGCATATTGCCCGAAACGACCAGTAGCGTACGCTGCACTCGCCAAGGTGGACGCAGAACTTGAGAGGCTCCAGCAAAACGGTATAATTTCTCCAGTTCAATTCTCGGACTGGGCAGCACCAATAGTCGTCGTACGCAAGTCGGACAATGTATCAGTCCGTGTATGTGGCGAATATTCGACGGGGCTGAACACCGCGCTAGAATGTGACCATGATCCACTGCCTCATCCTGACGACCTCTTTGCGGAACTAGCTGGAGCACGTTACTTCCCTCATCTCGATTTGTCTGACGCTTACCTACAGGTCGAGGTCGAGGAGGAATCGCGAAAGCTACTCACGGTCAACACGCATCGTGGACTGTTCCAGTATAACCGACTACCCCCCGGGAGTCAAGTCGGCACCCGGCGCTTTCCAGTGCATCATCGACAGCATGGTGGCCGGCATCCCTGGAGTCAAGCCGTATTTGGACGACATCCTCATCGCTGGTCGCACCAAGCAGGAACACGATCGCAGTCTCTACGCTGTTCTCGAGCAGATCCGTGAGTATGGCTTTCACCTACGCCTCGAAAAATGTCGTTTCGCACTCTCCCAGATCAAGTTTCTCGGACACATCGTGGATAAGGACGGTATTCGGTCTGACCCTTCAAAAACAGAAGCCATTTCCAAGATGCACTCTCCGAAGGATGTCCAGCAACTCCGTTCCTACCTCGGTGCTGTCAACTACTATGGTAGATTCGTTAAGCAGATGAAGCAACTCAGGGCTCCTCTGGACAGCCTCCTCAAGAAAGATGCACGCTGGAGCAGGACCAAGGATTGCCAGAAGTCTTTCGAGCAGCTCAAGGCCATTCTACTTTCCGACCTGCTGCTTACACACTACGACCCGTCCAAGGAAATCGTTGTTGCAGCAGATGCATCGAAGTACGGCCTTGGCGCTGTCATCATGCATCGATTCCCGACCGGTGAAGTGAAGCCAATTGCGCACGCCTCGCGCTCACTGACCCCAGCAGAGATGAACTACGGACAAGTGGAGAAGGAAGCATTGGCCCTGATATTCGCTGTCACCCGTTTCCACAAAATGCTGTATGGACGACACTTCCTCCTGCAAACCGATCATCAACCGCTACTCAAGGTTTTCGGCTCAAAGAAAGGTATTCCTGTTTACACAGCAAACCGTTTGCAGCGCTGGGGCCTTGACACTTCTGCTGTACGATTTCGACATCCAACACGTATCATCGACGAATTTTGGCTATGCAGATTTTCTATCCCGGCTAATGTCATCGCAGCATACCCAGATGAGGATTACGTCATAGCCGCCGTGTGCGTCGAATCTGAAGCAAAAGCAATTCTCGACGACACCATCAGCAACCTTCCAGTCACGCACCAGATGATTGTGGCTGAGACGAGAAAGGATCCAGTTCTTCAGCAAGTGGTGAATTTCCTTAACGAAGGTGGGCCAGCAAATGCGAAGCAAGTTGCTGATCCTGATGTCAAGAAGTTCTTCGCCAGACGAGATGGACTTCAAGTTGTCGACAACTGCGTTATGTTCGGCGATCGAATCGTCGTCCCATCAAAGTTTCGAAAGCGGATCGTTCGTCAACTGCATCGTGGACACCCAGGAATGGACCGAATGAAGTCTCTGGCCCGAAGTTACATCTACTGGCCTAACGTTGACGACGATGTGGAGCAATTTGTCCGTCAGTGCACTGCATGTGCTGAAGCAGCGAAGTCCCCGACAAAAGCAACCTTGGAGTCATGGCCTCTCCCGGACAAGCCATGGCAACGTGTGCATATCGATTTTGCTGGTCCGATCCATGGATACTACTATTTCGTCATGGTAGATGCTTTCTCTAAGTGGCCCGAAATTTTTCGCACTCAATCCATTATCACAACTGCAACTCTGAATATGCTGCGTGAAACGTTTTCTCGTTACGGCAACCCAGACACATTGGTCTCAGACAACGGAACGCAATTCACCAGCGAGCAGTTTCAACAGTATTGCCCTGCAAATGGTATCACCCATCTCCGCACTGCTCCCTACCACCCGCAGTCCAACGGCCAAGTGGAGCGATTCGTTGATTCACTCAAGCGTGGCCTCAAGAAGCTAGCCAAGGGGGAAGGATCACACACACTGGAGCACCTGCAGACATTCCTTTCGGTGTATCGTTCAATTCCAAACCGAAACACACCGCAGTCGACGTCTCCAGCAGAAGCATTCCTCGGAAGACCAGTGCGCACCACTTTGGACCTACTGAAGAAACCTGTTCCTGTAACTGAAGCTGTCAAGAACCACAAACAAAACGAACAGTTCAATTGGCGGCATGGAGCAGTCAAGCGCGAGTTTGAAGAAGATGACCTGGTCTACGTTGAACAGCATTGCAGAAACGCCAAGTCCTGGATTCCTGATCGAGTCATCGAACGGAAAGGTTCCGTCAACTATATCGTTGCACTGGACATGAACGGGAGACCGAAGCTGGTGAGGTCGCATGTAAACCAAATGCGCCCTCGTCACACTTCTGATGATCCAGAGCAAGCGACGCAGCAACTACCATGGGAAATCCTGCTTGATGAAATTCAAGATGAAGCTGTACCGTTGGATCCAGAAGTGCCATTCAATCACGATGTCCCTATTC